ATAGGTTTCAAAGGCAAATATAGAGATATGACTTCTAAGTGGTGGAGAGAATTTGATATGATGATGAGTACTTGTATAAGGGATGGAGTTCTTGTGACATAGCCAAATATTGTTCTATATACTCTTTGGGAAAGGCACAGGAAAGAAAGAGAGAAAGACTTTAGGGAAAGCTGGTTCTAGAATATGTCCCTGATTTCCAACTTGGCTTCTCTAGAAACTGAAGAATTTCCCTTGAGTGAAATCAGATATGTTCTCGTTCTCTCTCTCTCTCTCTCTTTCTCTCTCTCTCTCTCTCTCTCTCTCTCTCTCTCTCTCTCTCTCTTTCTCTCCCCTCCCCTCTCCTCCCTTCCCTCCTCTTCTTTTCCCCTCCCCTTCTTTCCCTCCCCTCCCTTTTCTTCCCCTCCCCTCTCTCCTCTCTCCCCTCTCTCTCTCTTCTCTCCTCTCTCTCTCTGCTAAGACTTCATCTTGCTTTCAGTAAAAGAGCTCATTCACATTTACTTTCTGGTATATTCTAATCTGTAGACATTCTCCAATTTGTTTTAGTTATTTTGCTTGGATAAATGGATTTACTTGCTACTCACTATTTGTCATGGTCTTTTGTGTAAATTCCCTTTGGTGGGAAAGAATTGAACTGGTGAGTATAAGCTAAAGTCTAGTAACCAGGGAAGCAGATTTTGTTCTGAACCTATTGTTGTACCTTTAGACCAGCAATATTTAAGGCAAGTGGAAAATAGATATAATTATAGCCTGATATTCCTCTTGGAAATAAATGAGGGAAGGAATAAGTGCTCAACCGTGGCCCTTCTGTTCCCTCAAAGGCAGAAATCACAGGCATTCTTAGAGAGGGATGGGGCAGATTTTATCTAGACTTATCTACCTATGAATACTATGAGCCACACATCTATACATTGAGACAATATAAGTAAACACAAATATCTTACATAGGCACGTACATTTTACATATAAGTGGTTTTGGTATTATTTGCTGGCAAATGTTACTGACATGATAATGGTCTGTAGCAAATATCTATAAGTTTGTCATGTGTAAGAGGGAACTTTTAACTGTTTTCGGCTAACAATGTTATCTCAAAGTGGAATGGGTTGCCTTCAAAGGTATCAAATTTCCTCCCACTGAAAGTCTTTAAGTAGAGGCTGGATGACCATTTGGCAGGTTTCCATCTCTCCGGGTTTTATTATGGGACAATAAGTTTACAAATCTCGAGTGCTGTAAAACTATGAGTTCGTGGTTTTGATGGCTGTTCTCATTGTTCTCATCTTATGTTCTGAGGAGTTCAGACAGTTCTGAATTTCTCTGAATTTTTCATATTCAACATTTCTTAGATTTTTACTTTTAAAAGCCTTTTTATGTTTTCATTTATTTCTTATGGCAACCTGAAGAGCTAAGTAAGGCAGGTATTATTCTTTCAGACATACAGGTACTGAAGTTTTGAGATTAAGTGGTTTATCCAAGTTCATATAATATGAGAGGCAAATGTGAGGCTGGAACCCACATCTCCTCTGTTAGTTTTTCTGTCTGTCCATCACACCATTTTGATTTTTTCAGAAGAAGAGGACAACATAGGCCATGTAAAGCTGTGAGTTGGAAAGGTAGACTGGATGCTTTTGATATTTGTGAAGAATAAATGTATTATTCCTATGGGGTACTGAATTTATATGCTTCACTTCATATTTTTTGAATTGATTGATTTTATGGGGCATAGGCTTAGCATGTCTTCTCATTAAGCCAACTGCATTCCACTCAAATCAATGGCTAATTGTCTTGGTCTCATATTAGGAAAAAGGGATAAAAGGAGGAACAGAGAAATGAAGAATAAAGTAGAAGTCTGAGCTGAATGAGCTAAGAAGACAAGGCTCCAGGGGATTCTTTGCTGATTGCTTGAAATGGATAGACCTAGATAGACTATATAAATCTGGTTTGGTTTAGTATTAAAGTTAGAATGTCTGGGTCCAAAGTCAATACATTTCTAGTGATTCTTTTATGAGTGATTATGAGTATTAAATGATCCCTGTAGGAGGTATGCAATTTCAAATGAAGGGATCTATTTGGAGTAAAGAAAAATGAAGTGTTCTTTTTGGCCTTGTTTCTTTGGGGAGAGAGATTGTTGGATAGAGAATTTGGAGAGTACAGTTATTCCTTCCATGTCGTGGGGGGTAGGGGTGTGACACTCTCACAATCTGGAAAATCTGCATAAAAATTTTTGGTGCCCCCTTTGTACTAGAGAAGGTCTGATTTTTTTTCTTTTTCTTTTATGGGGTGTTTACAGTACCTTATTGTAAAATTCAGGTTAAGTATGTGGTCATAGGCTCTGTGTCATATGCTGGCCTTTGTGAGTCATCTGCAGCTTTGGCAAAACTCCCCCCAAATTCCCATTTAATTTCTTATGCTGACCTGAGATATATCAAAACCACTATGGTGAAAGTCATGATGTGGAAGGGATAACTATAAATAGCTACTATAATACTATGTTTTCACTTTATAGATGAGTGTCACTGCTCTCATTCTTAAAATGCTTTTTTTTTTAATAGTGAAATGCGGGTTTGATTAGGGAAGTAAAATCCAAATCTATCAAAGAAAGCCCACCTGCCCTCATCCCATGTGCTTACTTATAGAACCAACCACAACATTGTTTTTGGAGAGAAAATTTGGTCAAACTTTCAGATTAATTCTCCTTGCCATTCCTAGGCTCATACAGTGTTCTTTTTAGGTGCTCCTCTAATCCAATTAGCAATGCTATTTAACAAATAGAACTAGTACATTTTTGCAATATGTTGTCCAAGGAGTTAGAGAGACAACTCCGAAAATGAGAATTTCAATTTAAAGGATTTATCACAAAGATTCATTTACCTTGACTTGTGCTGTCTGTCTGTCTGTCTCTCTTTCTCTCTCTCTTTCCTGTTAACAAATTGTTAAGAATGATGAGACCATGATGGTCAAACCAGTCTGAATACACTTAATTGATTGAACTATGACTGTGGTCTTGGTTTTGATGGAATACCTAAGAAAATTTGGGCCATATTGACCTACTACTCCCCTCCCTATTTCTAGGCAGGCTTTATTCTGACCTTGTCAAAACCTTTTGTTGAGTGGGTTTAAGTGAGAATATGGATCATGTAATTGAACAGCTAGCCACTAGAGGCAGTATCTAAGTGGATTTTGAAGCAGAAATAGGGCAAAGATAAAGATAAAAAACATTGTGGGAGTTCAGTCTTTTCATTTTAAAGATGAAGACATTAAGGTCCAGGGAGAGCTCATAACTTGCCCAAGATTACATAGGTAATTAGTGGTAGAGCTCATACTTGAACCTTAGTGCTCTGACCCCAAATCCAGTATACTTTCCACTGCAAGGACATAGCTTAGATTTTGTCTTGGTTTCACAAGCGGAAGTTGCATATGTATAACCCAAGTTAACTTATGGCACATAAGGAACAATACAGGCAGAATTTTTAAAAAGATCTAGATTGGAACAAAAAAATCTTTGTATCATACATCTTTGATAAAATTCTAACATCAAGTATTTAGGGAACTAATACAAACCTATATTACTGATCCATTTCCCAATTAGACATGAAGTCAAAAGATATGAACAAAATGTTTTCAAAGAATAAAATACAGCAACCTCGAAGAAATGCCAAATCATTAATAATCAGAGAAATTAAAATAAAAGGTACTCTGAGGTATTACCTCCCACTTAACACATTAGCAAAGAGGGTAAGTTGGAAAAAATTAATGTTATAGGGGCTCTGGGAAGGTAGCTACCTTAATTCATTATTGGCTTACCTGTGAATTGGATAAACTATACTGGAAAATAATTTCGAATTATGTCCCCAAAAAGGATAAATCATTTATACACTTTGATCCAGAAATCCCACAACTAGTTTTATCCTCCAAGGAGACTGATGACAGAAAGAAAAAATCCTTATATACCAGTTTATTCCTAACAGCCCTATTTATAATATTGAAGTGTTAGAAACAAAATATTTGACCAATGACTGGTGAATGGCTGAACAACTTGTAATTGATTAATATGATGGAATCTTATTGCACTATAAGGAATGATGAATATAAAGAATTCAGAGAAAGATGGGGAAATTGTATTATCTGATAAGATTGAAGAAATAACAATAAACACAATGACTACAACAATGTAAATAAAAGCAACGTAACTCATGTCAAATACACTGGACAATATTGGTTCCAAATTATAAAAGTTATAGCATACATCCTTCTTTGCTCTTAACAAGTGGTATATTTACAAAATTAAAAGTAACACGTACTGTGAGTTGCAATGCCTCTATTAGGCAGTTTTACATAACAATTTTTATGGACAGTACCACAGAGGGAAGAAGTTTGGAAAGTCATCAATATGTTTAAAACAAAATGTATCAATGAAAATAAAATGAAATATCAAATAAGAGGTCCCAATATTTTTCACAAGAAAAAGAAACAAGCTGTACTTAGACCTGTGTACTATGTAGTGGAAAGTGAACAGGACAGTGCCTTGTACACGGTATGTGCCTAATATATACTTATTGAATTGACTCAAATTGGCAGGGATTCAGAACTCAACTGAAGTGATTTGAATTGAGTTCTGGTCTTAGCTTTGTTACTAACTAGTTGCATAACTGTAGATAAGTTATCTGATATCTCTGTGTTTCAGTTTCCTTATATGCAGAATGAAGAGGTTGGACTATGTGACCTCTAAAATCTCCTTCTAGCTCTAAAATTTTAATATTTAAAAAAATCTCTGTTTACAGAGATGACCAATTCCCACTTCAAGTTTGATGAATTAGGTATGAAAAGAGTAGACTTAGTCAACTTCTTATATTGTAAATTCCTGCCCTTCATGGTCCCACTCCAATCCATACTTTGGCTTGGGAATCCTTGTTGGGGGAACTGGTGATTATCTTGTTTGAAAATTTTTTTCTTAACATCATTTTATTTACTCTAAACGTCTTCTCTCCCCACTTCCAACTTCCAGCACTGAATCATCAACTCCTGTTACATCTTATGATATTTCAACATCAAGAGGTATGTTTTCACTTTTCTTCTTTTAATGATCAATGCTCTGTCACACTGCAAACAAGGACAAAACTCTAACTTTTAAGCCCACCACTTGGAATTTTCAATTAGTTTGTTCTTCTTCATACAAGGTATAAAAACAGTTTTTTAAAATCGGTATTCTTTATTAGTCATAATTGTTCATTGTTAGAGTCTTGAACTCATAGGACTTACAGGGAGTTTACAAACAAACTTTTACGGTACTATACTGGAAAAAAAACCCTGACTATGATCTTGGCAAGAGATACCATCTACTTTCAGAGGACCAGCTTAGCTAAGTATGGAAGGCACATGACCAGACATTTGGTGTTGAATTCTTTGCCCATGGGGACCCATGAAACAAAGAAAACTGAAGTACATGCCTCATTCTTTGGAGGCAGATTGGCCAATAAAAATGGCACTAGAATTGGGATCAAGGAACTTGGATTTGAATCCCAGATCTGCCCCTTTCTATTTTTGTGACCTTGGATAAAGTATGTAGCCTTATCTTGGCTTTTGTTTCCTCATCTGTAAGGTGAGGGGGTTAGATCTGATGACTTCCAAGTTCCCTTCCCGCTCTAGACTCGGGATCCCTTCTGATTCCAAAGTAGCGGTGACAGTGGCTGAAAAGGAGACAGAGGATGCTAACATCCTAATGGATGAGAACACAGGCCATTTGAGTACTTGTACTGAATATGAATAATTTATGGGAATGGTCAACCAGCAGTCAATAGTTGACCAGCATTTATTAAGCGCTTACTCTGGATCAAGCATTGTGGTAAATGCTGGAGATACAATCAAAGCAAAAAGAAAGACAGATTGTAAAGTCGCTTTCTTTATTTTTTGCTCTGCATTTAGTCTTAGTCGTTAAAGGTTTAGATTTAGGTAATACCATTGAGATACACAGTTTTGTCTGTCTCCACAGATGCTGCAGTCAGTGCATCATCCCCTAGGGTGGTTTCCTTTCAAGGTTCGTTAGACAGCATCTCAGAAACACCGGATGACAGTGTAAGTGATCTCATGTTTGTTCATTACGTGTCCCTCCCTGAGCCCAGGGCTCTGGAAGAATTTTCGTTCAGAATCTGACTATAACTGGGTTGTGTGTGATTAGATTGCCATCACCCGCCTCTCCCTTTTTGAGACTATGTCTTCTCACTCATGCTGGAAATGTGGCAGCCAGTCATGGCTGACCCCAATCCCAATAGTGATTGGCATGGGAGCTTTAACCTGCTCCATTTTTTTCCCATCCTGGGTCAGTTATCCTCTCCTTAAGTTGGCTGATGACTTTAATCAAATGAGGCAATGTAGACACCCAATCAGCTTTAGCCCTATTGTAGATCAAAACTCCCAAACTCAAGTGATCCAGCAGCCTCAGTGTTCCAGCAACAAGAGACCATGGTCATGAGCCACCACACCAGGCTGTTTACTTGCTCTTGATGCTAATCCAATAATGTTGTGAGAGGCAGCTAGGTGGTGAGGTGAAAAGAGCATGGGCTTTGGGAGTCAGGAAGGCCTGATTTCAAATCCTCCCTCAGACACTTTCTAGATGTATGACCTTGGGCAAGTCCCTTAATCTTTAAGTCTCAGTTTCTTCATCTGTAAAACAGGGATGATGATAATAATAGCATGGTGGTTGTGAAGATAAAACGAGATAACACATGTAAAGTGCTTTGTGAACCTTAAAGTGCTATATAAATGTCACCAATTATTATTAATTGATTTCAGTTCACTATTATAATTAGTGTCTGCCTATGGTCATGATTTTTGTTGCCATTTGCCAACTCTTCTTCTTATGTCCCACACCTGAGGCTGTGCTGGAGATATTTCTAATTGTTAAATCTTCAGTATGAGCATTTGCACCTCCAAATCAGGGTGTGATTTATTATTTTGTTAATTATCTAGACTTAAGAAAATTATGGAGGAAATGCCAATAATGTAGATTAAACTTAAAAATGAGTTCTTTCTGAGAGCTGGATGTTAAACATTTCCCAGCATATCCCTGGCTATTCTGAAGTATCTATACATTTCCCTGCATCTTCCTGCTCCCCAAAGGTAGAACCCACTCATAGTTTCACATTTCCCCTTCTTTCATTTACTATTCTTACCTTGTTTGGGGCTACTATTTAGAAAGAAAAGGGGCAGGGGTAAATGGGAGAGGAGAGAGAGAGAGAGATAGAGAGAGACAGACACAGAGACAGAGACAGAGTGAGAGAGTGAGAGAGAGTGAGAGAGAGAGATCTTCCTTCTGTTTTTCTGTTACTCCTTCCCTCAGGGCAGTTCTGGTTGTCCATATTTTTGAAGCCATTCTCCAGTTTCTTTATGTTACCAAAGATTGTGGCAGTGGTATCATTTCCCCCCTTCTCTGCCCTCTCTTCCTCACTTCTCTGCCAGCATTTCCTCAGCTAGTTATTAATCATAGCCACAGAGTTCAGGAAAGCAGGGTCCCTCCCTCCCCAGTGAAGTGTCTGGGCTGATGCTTCGCTTGTTAGACTGATGCCTGAGGCACAAGTGGTTCTCTACCCTGGCTTCCTTCCTTCTTGGCTTTTTCCTTTTCTTTTCTTAATTTTTTTTCTTTTTAAGAACACACAGGAGATTTACTCTTGCTATTTTTCTTTCCCCTTAGCATGTGAGGAAAATACTTATCTGTGGACAGGTGGAACATTTCTCAATTTTCACAATGCTTATCTAAATATAGTTCTGACTTTGCTTCCTTTACATTATCCCTCTGCCTCTGTGATTGCTTTTTTGTGTATACTTGTGTTGTTTCCCTTTTCAAGAAATCTCATTATAGCTATGCTTCCAATATTTGAATTAATACATTATTTATCATCTTTTTCTTGGAAACCCAACTAATTGCATCTTTTTGATTGGATCTGCTATTTACCCCTTCTTTTTAACTCATGTGTTCTTTCCTTTATCTTTCCATGCTCCCTCCATCCTTCTCCTTCTATCATCTTTCACAGTTCTAGCCAGGGCCCATTAGTGAGGCTATCCAAATATATTCTGAGTCTCAAACTTTTATCTCCTGGAAAGGATGGAGAAAAGAGAATTTTGCCACTTCTCTTTTCTGTTAAAGTTTTGCACTAAGTAATACTCTGGGGTAACTAGGTGACACAGTAGATAGAGTAGACCTAGTGTCAGGAGGACTTGAATTAAAAATTGACCTCAGACACTTACTAGCTGTGTGACTCTGGGCAAGTCATTTAACCCTGTTTGCCTCAGTTTCCTCATCCATAAAATGAGCTGAAAAGAAAATGGCAAACCACTCCAGTATCTTTGCTAAGAAAACCCCAAATGGGGTCATGAAGAGTTGAACACGACTGAAATGATTGAACAACAAAACAAGTAATACTTTAGTCTTTACTACTATTGTTTCTAACCATTTGAAACAACTAAATGAGGAATGCATGCATCTGTATCAAGGGAAGATAATAGGAGAGAGTTTGGCACAAAAATAAGGGAAATATAGATGCCTGTTGGTTCACAGAATAGAGCCAGTGAGACACACTACTGATATAATAGCAGAAGTGGATGGACCAGAATAATGTTCTCCAAAGTTTAAGACAAAATAAAATTCTTTAGCAACAATATCCCAAAGTTCTTTAGGTAGAAGGTAAGTTTGTATATGTGGTCCCTCAGTAAAGTGAAAGAAACTCTTTGATGGGGATAGAACAAAGATTCTGGGATTGATGGCAGAAGAGTGGGCAGGTAGAAAGAAGAGATTTGAGTCATGCTTGTTTCCAGCTGAGTTGGAGACCATATGCTTCATGGTATTTTTGAACTCCAAGATGGAAAACCCTTCTCTGAATCTTTCTGGAAATACCTCAAGCCAGATTAACTTGGCCTGGAGATTTGGGGAGTGGTCCATAGGGTTGGAAGGTCTTAACCTATCTGAGTTTGTTGGCTGGTTCTTAAGCCGTGTTTTTATCCACAAGGATTTCTTTTTTGCCATCTTCCTCACCTGGAAAGTATTTAGCTAGTGAGTTTTCCACCCCCAACAAATTGAATTTCTGGTTTGGTCCCATATAAAATACTTTATGAAGAACACTCTCATCCTGTGAAAGATCAGCAATGCAGATGACCTGCTCACTCAGGGTTTCTTAACTTGGGATCCATGGACAGATTTCAGAATGTCTATGACCTTGGAGGAGAAAAAATTTACATCTTTATTTTCACTAATTTCCATCTAAAATTTATCATGCCCTTAAATTATTTAAAAATATTACCCTGAGAAGGGAGTTGTAGGCTTCATTAGACTGCCAAAGACCTAGGACACAAAAAAGGTCAAGTCCCTGTGCTTTAGGTTTTTAGTGATCATGAGTGTTGGATTTGACCAAAGCTGTATGTTTTACTACTTTTTAACAAAATAATTGTCAGAACTCATTGCTATAAGGATCGCACAGCAACTAAATCATGTAAATGTTTGTTTTGGGGGACATTTATTTATATGGGCACACTATTTGCTATTGAATATGGATAGAAGGTTTGATTGTGTAGGATCAAAATACTTAGAAATGAAAGGAATCTTCAATAATTTTTAGTCTTCCTTTCTAAATACTTTGATTCCATATAAATAAATAAATAAGAGGTTCTATAATAAGAGAATTACATTAAAATTTAATTACATTAAAATACATATTAGGCAGTATGATAGAGAGTTGGTCTTGAAGCCATTAAGACCCAGGGTTAAGTCCTACCTTTGATATTCACTTCTCAGTGCTCTGGGGAACTCTAACAAGTGCTAACATTTTGCTAGAGGGAGCTTCCTCACCTGAGAGTTCCCTATAAAGGTGAAATAACAGGTCCAGTCTCCATCCTTTAAGAGGCTCATTTTATTTGAGCATGAGGCCACTCTTCTGGAGTGGAAATATGGAGAGAGCATTGGACCCTAAGTCAGAAGGCCTGGATTTAAGTCTCTGCTGCTCAATAGTTGTATGACCTTGGGCAAGTCATTTAACCTTGAACATTTAACCTTTCTGAACCTCAATTTCCTCAAACAAAAAATGGGCATAATGATATCTTTATTTATCATTGTGCCACAAGATAATTGTGAGGATTGAATGAGAAAGAAAAATTATTTATACCTGTAGAAATCCGTACAAATATCAATGATTGTTATTGTTGCTGTGAGTTAACTTGTCATTTGCCAGGTATGTTTCTGAACTAGTCATGATGGGTTATCTCTATCTCTTAAAAAGAAACAATTTACACAAGGACAACTCTGTAATTTAGAAGTTCTGGAGAATGGAATCTTGATTAAAAAATTAAAAATCCCCGCACATCTCTGCACCTTGGTTTTCCTATTTGCAAAAGAGAGATAATATCTATAGTGGAGACCAGGTGATAAATATTTGTTGTGTACCTTGAGATCTTCAGAAGGAAGGCTCTGTATACACATGTACCTAGTATTGTACAATGAGCACTGGACTAGGGAGATAGAAAACCCAGATTTGGATTTGAGCTCTACTACCAACTGTGTGGCCCTATGCGAGTCACTTTGTCTCCTTTTTTTTGGCCTGAGATTCATCTATGAAATAGGGTGTGGGAATGGAGAATCTCTAAGGTCTCTTCTAGCACTAACATCTTATGGTTCTAATTTCTCGGTACCTCATTAGTCACAAATGGAAAATGACAAAATAGAATCCATTCATTTATCTCTCCCCTCTCCCCATGATCCTCTGTGTTCCAAAATCAAATACTGTAGAAATGACCTTTGAATTACCTAGACTACTGCTTCTTTCAATCATGTGGATAACAGGGAGTTGTCTTTAAAATCACCATCTCAGTAATTTTGCTTTTTTCCCTTCAATCTAGATTAACAATGAGATAGAGACTTCGAGAGAAAAACCCACAAAACTGGCAACTGAACAGGTTGCAGAATTCAGTATGCACCTTTCAGGGAAGCAATTCAATGATGAGCTCCAGGACCCTTCCAGCCTGCATTATCAAGATCTCATGCAGCAATTTATTTCAGAGGTTTGTGTCATTATAACTGGATAAGAAGAATGTTTGGGAATAAACCACTACTTTGGTTTCTAAGGTCTCCGTAGTATATTGAGTATATACCTAAGCATTAGATTATATCAATAATTGTTTCCTTTCTTCCTCCCTCTTTCTCCATCACTCTCTATTTTCTTTCCATCCTCTCCCCTCCATTTCCTTCTCTTTCACTTTTCTCAAACATTTTGGTTCATGGAATTCCTTGGTCTAAATGTAGACAAGAGTTCTGTAGGGCTTGAGTTCAAGGACTCTTTTAGTCAAAAAGTAAGTCATAATTAACATCTTTTTTTGTAAGATTTTGTTCCTGGGGAGTAAGGATTTGAGTATTCATATCTTCTTTCTTCCTTCTAGATGGTGGGATTCATCACTCCTTTAGATCAATGCGTTTTCCATTCTCATATGATGGGGTTCTCCTTGGCAGTGATAATTCCGTTACTGTGGGTTAATTTCCTATGGTACATTCTGAGCACACATGGGAAATAAAAACTTGCATCCTAGAGCCAAAGAGAATCATCACAACCATCATATGTGGCCAGTATAATCCAAACTGAATTTTCCTAGCTGTACAGCCAAGGAGTAAGACTGTATGGTATGTGAAAGAAACGTCAGATGGGACTGGCCACTCGGCATCAAGAAATATCTTGGATTGTCTGCCTAGCTCTCTCTGCCCTTAGATGAAGGAACCTTAAAAAACTCTTAGCATTTGAATCTGTGATTGAATTGTGTGATTATGGAAATGGAAAAAAATCTAACATTCCAAATACATCTTGATCAAGGTATATCTGGGGTACTACATGATCTTTGAGTGGTAATGAAAAACCTCAATCTGACCCTAAATATATCATCATCATCTTTTAGCTGAATTGAAAATTTCTACCATCAGAGTTCTTCTTTTGGGTTAAAAAGGAAAGTGGAGAAGGAGATCAAAGGGAAAGAGGGTACTGTCTGCTGGAGTTTACTATGCAGTCCACATTTATTACCTGAGAGGAGATGATGGAGGCCTTTTGGTGTCCAATTCTAGTATGTTCATTGCCATGGATTTTGGGGTCTAATTATCTGTTTGATACTTTGATGAACTTTGTCCTTATGGATTGAGGTATAAGATAGGTCAATTTGAGGGGAGTAGAGGCAAGCCTTAGATGATTGGACCATGGCAGGGACAACACAAATGATAAGGATTGGGGTGGAGGGAAGGTGGGGATAGCTAAGGAAAGTAAGAAAGAATAATTAGAGCAGCATAATCCCAGAATAGGAGTATATAATAATAATAACGCTAACAATGATGATGATGATGATGATATGGATAGAGACTAGACTTGCGATTTCATTTGTATAAGGAACTCCTAAGTGTGGAAGCTCACTTTACCAATGTAGGTCATTACTTTCTCTGCAATTTGTAGTCTTAAAATGTTGCCTAGACCAGAAATGTCAAGCATGCAGACCACAGGCACAGGTGGCCCCCTATATTCCTGAGTGCAGCCTGAACCATATTAAGATGTACTTGGGAAATATTTAACAAAATAAATAAAAATACAAAATATACAAAAAATAAAAATACAATAAAACATAGACATTTTAATATGTTGTTTTCTAAGTCAATATGGGGCCTGCAGGGATCCTTATGTATGTTTAGAGGCCCCTGTTTCTAGCTGAATTTGACCCTACTGGCCTAGAACACTGAGAAGTTAAATGACTTATTCAGAGTCACACAGCCAGTCTGTGTCAGAGTCACACAGCTGAGCCCTTTGAGGCCAGCTTTCTATCCACTATGGCATGGCTGCCATATAAAAATCAATCAATCAATTAGCATTTATTAAGTACCTATTATATGCCAGGCACTGTGCTAAGCACTGGGGATACAAAGAAAAACAAAAACCAGTCCCTGCTCTCAAGGAGCTCACAGTCTAATGGTGGAAATGATATGATAATAATTATGTACAAACAAACTATATATAGTATAAATTAGGGGTAGCCTCAGGCAGATGATGATGATAATAATACATCCCTGTGCAAATAGTTTTTAAAAAATCAAATACAAAAGAATTATGATAGGACAGCAACTTGCCCAAGATTCTTCTTTTTCATCTGAACCCTAGTGAAAAAGATGAGAACAACATAAATAATAATACTAACAACAACAACAGTTAGCACTTGCTTGATGCTTTGTGGTTTTTTTCTTCGTATATTTTCTACATTCTTTAAAAATTTTTTTTTGAGTTCTGAATTTTCTCCTTTCCTTCTGCCCCCCCACTGAGAAGGCAAGTAATATATCAGTTGTACATGTGAAATCATGTAAAACGTATTTCCATATTAGCTCTATGTAATTCTTCCCCCTGAACCAATTCTGATGAGAGTGAGGTTCAAGCACGGCTCTCCTCAACCATTTCCCCCTCCATTGTAAAAGCTCCTCTTTACGTGCCTCTCTCTGGTGAGATAATTTTCCCCATTCTACCTCTCCCTTCTCTCTTCTCCCAGTGCATTCCTCTTTTTCAGCCATTATCATTATTATTATTATTATTATTATTGGAGATCATCCCAACAAAATCGACTTGTGCCCATACCTTTTGTCTATGTAGACAGCTTCTAACTGCTCTAATGAACTTCTTAGAAATTACATGTATCACCTTCCCAAAAAGGAATGTAAACAGTTTAACTTATTGAGTCCCTTGTGATTTTCGTTTACCTTTTGATACTTCTCTTGAGTCTTATGTTTGAGAAATGCAAATTTTTCTATTCAGATGTGGTCTTTTCATCATGAAAGTCTTCTGTTTCATTAAATATCCATTTACACCCCTGAAGGATTGTACTCAGTTTTCCTGGGTAAGTTATTCTTGGTTGTAATCCTGTCTCCTTTACCTTCCAGAATATAATTTTCCAAGCCCTTTGCTCCTTTAACATGAAAGCTGCTAAAACTTGTATGATTCTGACTGTAGCTCCTTGATATTTGTTTTTGTTTTTTTGTTTTTGGCTAGGCAATGGGGTTAAGTGACTTGCCCAGGGTCACACAGCTAGTAAGTGTTATATGTGGAGGCCGGATTTGAACTCGGGTCCTCCTGAATTCAGGGCTGGTGCTCTATCCACTACGCCACCTAGCTGCCTCCATTCCTTGATATTTGAATGATTTCTTTTTGGCTGTTTACAATATTTTCCTCTTGACTTAGGAGCTCTGAAATTTGGCTATAATATGCCTGAGAGTTTTCATTTTGTGATGTCTTTTAGGAGATGATCAGTGGATTCTTTTAACTTCTATTTAACCCTCTGGATCTAAGATATTGGGGCAGTTTTCCTTTCTAATTTTTTGAAATATGATGTCTAGGGCTCTTTTTTGAATCATGACTTACAAGTAGTTTAATAGTTCTTAAATTATCTCTCTTCAGTCCATTTTCCACTGAGATTCAATTTCACATTTTCTTCTGTTTTTTTTTTGTTATTTTGATTTTGGTTTCTTATTTCTTGATGTCTCACGGGGTAATTTTTAACATTTATTTTTAAATTAAAATATTTATTACATAACATAGTATATTAAAAAAGATTATTGCATATGAAATTGTGAATCTATTATGTACAACTTTTGCTATTCCTTTTAAATATATCATAAAGTTATTATGCAAATTTCTTTTCTTTTCCTCCCTCCCCACTCCAGAGATGGCTACCATTAGACAAAAATATGTATATATATATAAAATCATTCTATACATACTTCTACTTAGTAGTTCTTTCTTACCAGATAGTATCTTCCATTATATATGCTTTGTAGTAATTTGGTTATTTATAACAGTCAAAATGATTGTCACTCAAAGTTGTTCTTAAAACTTCTTAAAATTGCTGTTATTATATATAACTTTCTCTTGGTTCTGCTCATTTCACTCTTCATTATTTTGTGCAAGTCTTTCCATGTTTTTCTAAGATCATCAAGCTCATCATTTCTTATAGCACAGTAGTATTCCATCACAATCATATACCACAGCTTGTTCACCATTCCCCAATTGGTGGACATTCCTGCAATTTACATTCTTTGCTACAAAGAGAGCTGCTATAAATATTTTAGAACACATAGCTTCTTTTGCTTTTTCCCTAATCATTTTTGGAAATAGATCTATTAGTGGTATTTCAGGATCAAAGGGTATAGACAGTTTGATAATTCTTTGGGCATAATTCCAGATTGCTCTCCAAAATGGTTAGAGCAGTTCACAATTCTACCAACAATGAATTACTGTCCCAATTTTTCTACATCCCCTCCAACATTTGTTGCTTTCTTCTTCAATTATTTTAGCCAATCTTATAGGTGTAAAATGACATCTCAAGGTTGTGTTAATTTGCATTTCTCTAATAAATAGTGATTTAGAGCATTTTTTCATATGACTATAAATAGTTTTGATTTCTTCAGTAGAAACTGCTAAATTTTAATTTTTAAGGAATTATTTTCTTCAGTGAGATTTTGTACCTCCGCACCCCTACTCATCTAATTCTGCTTTTTAAGGAGTTCTTTCCTTCAGTGAATTTTTGTACTTCTTTTACCATTAGGCCAATTCTGTTTTTTAGTGTTATTTTCTTCAATTTTTTGTGCTTCTTTTACCAAGCTGTTGATTCTTTTTTCGTAGTTTTCTTGTATCATTCTCATCTCCCCCCAATTTTTCCTCTCCCACTCTTATCTCTTTCTTTAACTTTTCTAGAAATTCTTGTTGGGCTTGTGTCAGATTAGCATTTTTCTTTGAGGCTTTTATTGTAGGGGTTTTCAAGTTATTATATCCTTCTGAGTTTGTATCATTGTCTTCCTTGCTGCCATATCAGCTTTTTATGGTCAAGTTCTTTTTTCATTGTTGGCTTATTTTTTTTTCCAGCCTATTTCTTGACTTTAAACTTTGTATTAAAGTTGGGCTCTACTCACCTGGGGGTGGGAAGGCACTGACCCAATCTGCTGTTGTTTTCAGAGCTAGTTTTTGGAGTCTGCAAGTTTTCAGTGTTTTTAAAGTAGTGTGATTTGAGGAGAGGTATGATCACTGCTCTCTCGGTCTGGCTCTGGTCTTTACCCAGAAAGGCCCCTGGTCTCCTGCAACCACAAGTGCTTCTGCTCCTTTCTGCCTTGGAACTGCTCCTTGGCTACTGATTACAAACACTCCTCTGTACTCCAGAACTGTGTATTGGCAATTCAGTTGCCAGTCAGCACAAGCTGCACCCAGTTCCAGTCAAGAATCCCCTGTAATCTCTTTTTGACCAGTTGTCTTACTCCCTTACCATCTCTGGGTTGAGAGATCCCAAAGCTACTGCTGCTGCTATCCCAGCCACATCTAAGGCCCTTTGCAGCTTGCAGTCTGGGCCAGTCCCCATCCCTATGTCACACGCCTCTCCTGCCTACAACCTAAGTTGTCTTGGGCTGGAAAAATATCTAATTTTGACCTTTCGTTGACTCTACTGATTCAGAATTCCATTTGAGCTGTTATTTTAAAGTTGTCTGGAGGTAAATGTTAGGAGGGTTCAGCTGGGTTCCTGCCTCTACTTTGCCATCTTGGCTGTACCTTCTACTGCCGTAAAGTTCTTTACAAACATCATATCATTTTATCCTCATAACAACCCTGGGAGGTAGGTGTTATTATTATAATTTCCATTCTACAGACAAGGAAACTGAGGCACAGAGAGGTTAAATGACTTGCCCATAGTCACATAGCTAGTAAATGTCTGAGTTTGGATATGAACTCAGATCTTCCGACTCCAGGCTCAGCACTCTATCCACTGTGCTACCTAGCTGCTTCCATTACAGTGGTAATGATACTTCATATTTTGTAGAGCACTCCATGCTTTGCAAAAGGTTTGTACATCTCTTTCCTTATTTGAGCCTCTCAGTGGTCCTGTGAAGGACATATGACATATTTTATATAACACTTAACATAGTACCTGGCACATTGTAGGTACTTAATAAATGTTTATTGACTGACTGAAACTCTGAAAAGTTGCTACTTATACATGATTCCGTAGGATACCTAGTAGTGGGGTTAGAGTGGAAGAGGAAGAAATAGAATTAAGTTTCCCTGACTTTTAGGGCAGTCTCTACAAAACCATGTTTCTTCCCTGATCATTTTAGTTTTCAACCAGAAATGATGACAAATTTCCCCTATTTTGAAATTTTATGTAGGGCTGACCCTGATTCTGATTCTGAGGCAAACCACCATGACTAAGTGAATACATTGATACAACTTTTACCAAAGTCTTCAACCTGTGTTCACCAGATCTTCATTCTTCCCTATTGTAGAATCCTCTGGGATGGGTGGCATATGGGTGCTCTTTTAAGAATTTGTCAATCTTACAGTTAGAAAAATATCATTAATGAGTTCTGGTATCCATGTTTTGGAAACAATCATAACTTAATGTGCTGTTGGTAATATAGCCAATTAAAATTTATTATTTCTATGCAGTGTAATTTCTTTTAAATATAAACTAATTTATTATAGACATTTTGACCACATTGATTTACATAATGGGGTTTAAAAGAGCTCCAAATTAATAAAATTGGCTTTTTCAAAAGTGTAGCTCATAATCTGTTCATCTGGCAGATCTCAACTGGATTCTTGCTCCTTCCTGACTTCCATTCATATGGGGCTTCTCTCCTGGGACCTAATCCAGAGCTTGCAGATAGCTTATTGATGCGTGATGCACTCATAGTTCCTTCCTGCTTTAGTAACAGGAAACAGATGCCACAGAGAATTTCACACATTCAAATAATAAACACTTGCCTGTTTAATAAAGTGTGTGTTGTAGCCAGCTTTCTATTCCAAATCATGTAATTTAAAGTACTCCATTGATAGCTTCTTCCAAGACTTGTGCTTTTTTTCTCACATTTCACCATGACAGGGAAAAAAAATCACTGTCTCATGAAAGCACGTTACATACTTTGATCTCTCTTGTTCTTTGAAAACAGGTTGAGAAAGCATTTGATGGGCTACCTGGCTACAAGGACATCCATGTGCTTGAATTTAGGTAAAAAGATATATAGATATAGATGTCTTGCACTGTGTATGTAGCACTTGAATTGCAAAAGGATTGGGTTATGTATTATTATTGTTAATTATTTGAGTGTTTTATTAGATAATATTTGAATTATAAGTTCTATTTTATAAATGGGGAAATTGAGTTAGAGAAGGGCACCATTACTCATGCAAAATTTCACAACTAGTCTGTTACTAAATCAGAAGTTAGAACTCACACGCTCAGGTTGTGGTTGGTTCTACTTGCTTGAACATGATGTACACAAATATTCATCACTGATGATGGAGACCCTGGAGCTTGAAGGGATTAACTGTTTTCTTAGCCCCCTTCAAAACTCGTTAATATTTTAGTTGGGTGTACTTTAACTCTTAAATCCAAAGAAATTTGATGAGATCCCTTATCCTTCATCTTTAAGAGCACCTCTAAACATATCAGATAAAGGTGTTTCTCAGGCTTTTCCAGAATATTCATTATTACCCATGACAATGGTGTCCGGGGTATTTTTAGTACTGTTACTCATAACAATGCATCCTGGGATTGTGAGTAAGCAGGAGCTGAAGGAAGGAGAAGAAAGGGGATCATGCAAACCTTATTACCTAGGCTAGGAGGATAGGAAATATTAGCATCATTAGTTTGGTATCCACCTGTCAACACTTCCGGGTGCTCCACGATGTAAGATTTGGAACAAGATGGCCTTGACCTTGACCAATTCTCCTCAGTGCCCATTCCTGGACATTCTGGGAAATATAATTACCTCATCCCCAACGCCCAGCCTTCTCCTAGGAACTCTAGTTATACCCCATGATTCCTGAAAAATAAGTCTTGGTAAACAGTAAGCTGAAACTGTATATCAAAGTCTTTAAACTTAGTTCTCAAAAGAACCAGATTATGTTGGGTTACTTCGAATACTTTGAGAGGAAAACAAAAAGGAAAAAGTATCTGAAGAAGAAAAGGAATCTTCACTTTGGTCAGAAGGTTGGAGAGTGAAAAAATGTAACATAGAGAAGGAAAGGAAAAGGACCATTAAACTAAGAGGCTTTTCCCATAGAGCAGAGGTTTTTAACCTTTTTTGTGTCATGGACATCTTTGAAAGTGTGGTAAAGTCTGTAAACTCCTTCTCGGAATAATGTTTATCACTTGTACTTGTGATTGAAGGAAATGCTAAACTGCAGTTAGAAGTTAGTGAAAATAAAGATATCATTTAATTCTCTTCCAATTTCATGGACTCCCTCTTCCTGAATGTATCTACAGATTCCTTGGGGGCCTATGGACCTCAAGTGAAGGACTCTTGCCGTAGAGGGTAGAACTGAGCTGTTAAAGGAGAAAACAGTTTCCTGTGCTCTAAAGAATTATGATAAGGATCCATAGGTTACTCCATGAACAGTGACAGTGATGACAGTGAATGTTGGTCACAGAAAAGGAGATGAGTCTGGTGTTTGGCAGCTTCCCAGTGAGGGGAAGAGGGGTAGAGAAGCTGCCATACATTGACCTGATATGAACATTTAGGAAGGACACTATATTCCCCAAACATGTGTCTGGAATATGATGGAAAACCCTTGAAAACTTAGCAGGACTAATGACAATTGCTTGCTTAATGGTGATTAGTGTGGGGACAAATTATTTTACTAACAGAAAATTAGAAGGTATCTCTAGGGATTATTTACCATAATATGAAAACTAAAGACTTGGGGGGAGAGTACATATGGTATTTCCATCATTGCTGCCAATTCAAACTAAGGGCTTCAGAAAAGAAAGGTGGCTGCAGGAAGTGAGCAGCTAGTTAAGAAGATGATGTTGGAAAATAGGATTTGGATTTCTGGGCCAAGACTTAAGATCCAGGAATGAAGGGCATTTGTATATGAATTAAAGAAATATAAAGAGGGCTAGGAAGGATATATTTTCATGGAAATTTGAGGATCAGATTAAAAGAGCTTTAAACTGAAAATAAGAGGCAAGAGAAAATTGACCACATATGCTCACTAAGCCATAGGCCACAGAGTAGTAGTTATAAGAATAACAGTGGAGAAGGGGCAGCAAGGTGGCACAGTGGATAGAGCACTGGCCCTGAAGTCAGGAGGACCTGAGTTCAAATGTGGCCTCAGATCAAATACTTGACACGTACTAGCTGTGTGACCTTGGGCAACTCACTTTACCCTGATTGCCTCACTAAAAAAAAAAATAACAGTGGAGAGTAATTTATAAGAGGTAAAGAAGAGGAAGAGAGGGAATACTATGTTTAGGGCCTCAGAGGTCTATTCACAGAAGCAAAGCATATGACAAAGTAAACTTGAGATCTTCATACAAGGAGGTTAATTCAGCAGCATAAGTGTCATTAAAATTTGGTGTGACATGACTTCCTCCTGGAATATGGATCAGTGGAAGACCTTATTCCAAAAAAAGAGAGTGATAAAAGTGTAATGGAGTGTCATTGAATGGAGAGAGCTCTCTCTCTCTCTCTCTCTCTCTCTCTCTCTCTCTCTCTCTCTTTCTCTGTCTCTCTCTCTGTCTCTGCCTCTCTGTCTCTGTCTCTCTCTCCAGCTAGGTGGCACAGTCCACTGGGCTTGAAGTCAGGAAAACTTATCTTTCTGAGTTCAAATCTGGCCAGCTATGTGACCCTAGGCATGTCACTTAATTCTGTTTGCCTCAGTTTCCTCATCAGTAAAATGAGCTGGAGAAGGAAATGGCAAACCACTCCAGTATCTTTGCCAGGAAAACCCCAAATGAGGTCATGAAGAGTCAGACATGACTGAAAGCAACTGAACAAACAACAAGAACGAAAAAGGGGTTTTATATTTTAAATTACAATAAAACTTTATTTAAAAATGAAAAAAAAATTGCTCACAGACTGCACTGAAGTAGGCATAGTTTGCTAACCCTTGCTCCAGAGGAATGAGTTTTGTTTTTTGAGCAACAGTGAGAAGTTGCAGAAGGTGTTTTGCTTTGATTTGATGAAGCATTTCTTTACTACTACTACTATCTATACATGAAATGGGTTGTTGTGGGAGGTTGTGGGCATCCTCTCACTGGAGGCAGAAGACTTGTCAAGGATTTTGGAGGGAAGATGCTCCCTATGCAGGGACAGGTTGAATTAATTGACCTCTGAGGTGCCTTCCAACTGAGATTCTGTAATTTAGTTATATAGGGAAGAAGTAGGGGAGCATGGTGACTACTTTCAAGTATTTGAAGGGCTTTCATGTAGAAGAGGGATAAGATTTATTCTAGTTCAGCCAAAGAGCACAGAACTAGGAACAATGGTTTTAACACATTCTAGTATTTTCTCAGGAGTCAGAACCATGTTACCAGAATATACTCTCTTCCCCTTTTTGAAAATCAGAGCATTAGCCCATCCCCACACATTTTCTATGAGGTGTAAACTAAAGGAGAATTGTGAATCCTCTCAGTGTTGCATTTTCCCATCTGTATAGGAGTCTCATCAGAAAAATTGAGAGCCAGAGATATGGTGCATTTTCACCTCCTCTGTCTTTTCAGGGGACATCATGTTCAGTGTGGGAGAATCTGGGCACCCTACACAGGATGAATGCAGCTAATACTAATCAAAGGACAAATAAAGATCTGGGAATTCTGTGTCCCTAGAGTTCTAGTTTATTTGTGATATAAATATTAAAGGAAGAACAAGCATCATCTTTCAGAACTATTTCATCCTTGCCAGGCCCTGTCCCCACCCCACCCCACCCTGCTACATCTGATTTGAATCAAATAGTCATAGACCAAAATATTTCTCCCTTATTTCTCTTTTGATCAATTTTTTTCAGTCTAAACAAAATGTCCTCCCCTCCCCCAAATCTACAGATTTACAAAGATACACAGATATACCAATGAAGGGCAACCATTTTCCATCTCTCTCTTTTGTACAAAGTTCAGAACATAGATAAGTAGAAAGGCATTAAAAAAAACCACAAAAATTCATAGAGTTCATTTTATTTTTACATTTTAAATAATTTCACATTAATATCTTTTGTTTTTACTTTACCTGCATTTTCTAATACATCCTTTCCCCTGCCCATGAAGAGGTGGAGGGGTTTTGGGGTGCTGGGACCCCCCCAGATCGCGACACAGGGTTGCCTGAAAGAATTCAACCCAAATCTTCTTCCAGCCAGAGAAAAAGTTTGTTAAAGATAAATCACATATAGGCCAGGTGGCACCTGTCAGGATGAGCGGGCATGAGAGTCTCATCCTCTGGGTGTGAGAGGTTCTCAGTGTCTAAATGGGGGCGAAGGTGGATCTTAAATACACTAAAGTAACTTTGGGTGGCCAGAGGAAGGGGGGTTGGTTGGGTCCATTTGGAAGGTAATAAACAATGAGAATAGATAATGAAGGGAACTGAAAGGTAGAAGTTTGCTTTCAAAGGGAGATAAAGAGAGTAGATAAGGAACCTAAAAGTTTTAAGGGTTTTCTGGACTGGTAGACAAACTTCTTTTTAGAGTTAGGGGTAAAGGTGCATTTGAATAAGCTTTCAAAGAGAGATAAAGTGAGTCTACAAGGAATCTAAAAGTTTTAAGGGTTTTCTGAGGTCTGTAAACAAAGGAGCCAAATTCCTTTTGGTGAAAAGGGGCAAAGGGAAAATGGACAAAAGATCTCGGCTTCTTAAACTGAATGAAACCCTCATCACCTTCATACAGAGGTATGCCTTATAACACTGAATTAACTGACAAACTGACACAAACAAAATTGATCAACATGTTTGAAAAAGTCTGACATCATTCAGCATTGAATTAAACTCAATTTAAATAGTTTCATTAGCTTTGTTATTGTTATTCTTTCCATTTAAATCGAAACATTGTGTATATTTTTCAAATTTCGCTTGCCTTACTTTGCATTGGTATATATGTTTTCCTATGCTTCTCTGTATTCATCAGTCTCATTTCTTACAGCATCTTATATTCATGGAGCACAACTTGTTTAGCTATTAACTAGTTGATGGGCATCTACTTAGTTTACAATTCTTTGCTACAATGAAAAGTACTGCTACAAATATTTTGATCTATTTGGGGCCTTTATCCTTGGGATATATGCCTAATGGTGGAATTTGCTGGACAGAAGCCATGGGCATTTTAGTCACTTTCTTTGTATAATTTCCAACTGTTTTTGAAAATGGTGTAAGGGGGTGTGTGTGGTGTATTTTGTACCCATGGAGTTTGTGTGTATCCATAGGACTCTGTCTAGATATGGCTCAAGGAAGGTATGGATGGATATCTCTAGATATCGTCCATCCTTCTCCACAGGAGATTTTGATTCCTACCAGGACGGGAAGCAAGAGATTGGGGCCAGAGGTGAGCACTCTGCTCTCCTCAGAGAGAGGTCATATAGGGCTAGAATTACATCTATCTTCCCCCTTAAATTTTGTTAGCATTAGGGGAAATAATTTTTAGTTTCAAGCTGAGCTCCTGATTGCTCTTCCTTAATGGGAAAAGAATTCTTCAAGTTAGACTTGACTCTTTTTCTTTCAAATGCCAGTTCCACAATGAACATATATAGCAAATAGGAAATAAACCCATTTATTCAAGCAGATAGCAAATAGAAATCAGAGAGAGTATGCAGATGAGAATATATACCAGACAATATACAGAATGGATGATCCCTTCTATTGAGAGTGAAATATCTTAACTCAACTGAGAAAGAGGGTCCCCAGTCTCACCCAAGGGGAAATTCCCTGGAGTCTATTATAGCAATCTGGGGATAGGAACATAAGGTGCTAGTTCCTCCATGTGCTAGCTTCTTCCCACAGTCCATCTCTTCCTTTGGGGACCTAAAGAAAGTCTGGAATCCAGTGTCTTTTCTCTGGAATCTGTAAGCCAGAAGTCTAGCATCTCCTTTCTTCCAAGCTCTGGCCAACTCTACCACTCACTCAGGTGTGGAGTATTCAGCAATCAATTCCCATCAATGAAGAGATCCTTATGCATGTGGAGTTTGAGCTTACAATGATTAGACTAATTCACAGCTCCACCAACAGTTTGTTAGTGTTTCAGTTTTTCCATAAACCTTCAAGGAATTCATTTTAATGTAGAATATTTTTTCTTTTCTTTCTGATGAAATTTTCCATACTAAAGGAATTTGTCCTTACCTGCTATGCAGATACTGAGTAATATAAATATTTCAAAGAAAATCTGAAAAATGTGCCAAGAATACTTTAATAAATGCTATATGATTATGAAGTTTTCAACAAGTTTTAACATATTTACCTTTCTTTTTTTCCAGGTTGCCTCAGGAAAATGTCAGGTAGAGTGTCTTTTGGAATCTCTTACACTGTTATTGACTGTTTCAGGAACAAAAGTAGATAGATGAATAAATGAAACATTTATTTTAACTGCTTACTATATGCCAAACACCAAGCTAAGTGCTGGGAATATGAATACAAGCTACAAAATAGCCCTTACCCTCAAGGAACTTAAATTCTACAAAAAGGAGCTGGAAACTGAGGGGGAGGGGAAAGAAGAGGGAAAGGACTATGGCAAAGAGGCAAAAAATTCTTGAGAATCAGGAGTAGAGCCTGGAAACCCAGGAGTTACAAAGCAAGTAACTCCAGGAGGAGGAAAGCCTGGTTGAATTCTTTTGACTCTCCCAAATAGTACTCATAGGTCCCTTCTTGAAAATGCATTCTTTCCAGGGGTGGGGAACCTGAGGTCTCAAGGCCACATGGGGCCCTTTAGGTCCTCAAGTGTGGCCCTTTGACTGAATCCAAATTTCACGGAACAATATTCTGTTCTGTGAAGTTTGGATTCAGTCAAAGGTCTGCTGTGAAGAGTGCTCTAGCTGATGGCTTGCTGGTAGTAGTCTACCTCTTCAAAATGGGATGACCGTAACACACTTACAAACATCAAAATCGTGAGGACACAATTGGTCATTTTGAAAATTTCATCCTGCTAACAGTTTCTAAAGAGGACAGCAGTCATTGTTTCAATAAATCATTACTTTGGATAACTGAAATGATAACATAATAGCCATATGCTTACTTGGTGAACTTTATTTTTAACTTACCATTTTAATGAAAGTATATATAGTAATGTGTAATTGTATATATTTCTGTGTAATTTTTCTGAATAATGTAAACATGCCCCTCCCCCCAGCTTTTCGCTCAGCAGGATACAGCACCATCTAATTAGCTCTGAGAGAGTACTTATAGCAAAGTGACTGAAAATCCTGTCTTTCCCCTTCTCAAACCAGAGGGGCTAGCTGATCTGGCACTACTAAGAGGCTTCATCTCTCTCAACCTATGCATGGTGTTAAAATGCAGTAATTAAAATAGTAGGAGAGTTCAGCTCTCCTTCAGTCAGGAGACTGCCAGTCTTTTCTTTAGTCCATGAAGCAGTGATTCTCTTCTAATCAACAGCCTTCAATGACAGCAGTTGAAGCCTTCTTGTTGGCTGATTGCTTCTGCTGGCATCTTCTTAACTCATCCTCTTGCTGGGTTCTTTAGAGCTTCTAATGTCTCAAACCATCCTTTCTATCAATTGTGATAGAATTTGTTGTTGTTCAGTTGTTTCAGTTGTGTCCAACTGTTTGTGACCCCAAAGTCGGATTTTCTTGGCAAAGATACTGAAATGATTTGCCATTACATGAAACCAATAGTCATTATTTAATCTACTTAGGGTGTCCAAACTTATTCAATTTACCATTTGGAGAGTTTTACCCTCTCAAACTCTAAAAACAGTCACATATAAATGAGATCAGGGATGACAGTGTCTTGTAGCCTAAGTCATTTCACTGTCCTCAAAAAGATTCTCTCAGTTTTCTCTCTGGTCCTCCCAATAATCTCTGTCACATTTTAACTGAAAAAAAAAAAAAACAAAACCAACAACCTATTCACACACTGATTTTACACATTGCTTTTATATGCAAAAATTATTTTTCTTCCTCTTTCAACTACCAAACTGGTCATATATGAAAAGAATAGCAATTTATGTAATTTACAAGTTAATTTAAATATTTTTTATATAAAAAAGTTTTTCTGCCTTTTTCAAAACCCAAACTGCTGATGTATGAAAGTGGCAGTTTGTTTCACGTGTATAAATGTATATTGCAAAAGAATTGTGAAATCATTGGTGGGGGCAATTTCTTCACTAATGCAGACTATACCCCTTCCATGTCTTAGCCTTCAAAGAGTATCTGCAGGCAGAAAAAAAAAAATCAATCACCTGATGGTCAGTTTTGAGACCAACCTTATGGTGGCTCCATACTTAGCTTAGAATGGTCTTTGCACTACAGACTCATGTTCCATTACTAACCTAACAATCAACTAAGGCACAATAGATAAAGAGCAGGTCACTGAGTCAGAAGACCTAGATTCAAGTTCTCTAGAGGTCTGACACATACTGGTCCTGTGACCCTGGGCAAACTACTTCACCTCTCAGTGCTTATATGTTGCAAGACTCTTAGGAGAATTGTCTACACAAGTCTCCCATCTCTTCCAACTCTTAAAAAAAAATCTAAAGATCTTCCAGAGCTTACATTCTGCTAGTATTGCCTTTGAGGATTCAGGGTTATCACCATTCTTTGATGAAATGTTGGAGTAGGATGAGTTGAGGAGGTGATTCAAAATCTAATGATGTACAATATAGCACTCACATTCATAGGCTGTCTGCTTGCCACAAACACACAGGGAATGCTTCTTAAAGTAGGATTTATATAGAACCACTGGCTGATCTATCCTGCTTGAATCAACAAGTGAAAAATCATTTCCAGGCCTTAGGATATACTCTTTGTAGATAATGTTTTAGGAGAAAGCACTATCAGGATGAGAGAAGAAAGACTGGAGTTTTTTCCAAAACAACCTCACCTTTGGTTGCCCTTCTAATGATGTAACATCTCATTGGCTTTTTCACCTATATATGTCAATCATCTTCTAATTGGGTAATTGAGGTGGAAGTATAATGAAGGCTTCTTTTTGCAACTTGACTCAGAATGAACCCTTCCCCAGCAGATGCCCCAGACAATACCTGTTTATGTGGAGAATAGCAGTTGTTTCAGCTAATTTGGGCAGATGAAAGATAAAGTTGGCTATAGTTAGTATTCTAGTTGCTAAGTGTGTAGTTTGCCAACATAGTTTTCTTCAGACTGATACTGTTTTTGTTCAGTTGCCTATATTATGTTTCTCATATACTTCCTTTCATTCTTGACTATATCTGATGTTTACCCCTTCCTGAGCTGTGGCGGACCAGCTATCACCTCCCTACTGACATCTTTACTTCCTTTTGCCTTGCCAGAAATCAGTCAGTTCAGGGTTATCATGCTTGGACCTTAAAACTTATTTCTTCCTGACACCTCAAAGTCTTTCTCATTTTGTACTTTCTTAACACAAAATGTGACGAATTATGAGATGGTGCCTAAACATTGTGCTGGCAACAATATACAACCCTGATCAATATGCGTTAACTTGACTTTGACAGGTATATTGTCAGAGATAAACTTTTTTCTTGCCAGTTGTCTCTTAGCTAGACCTTGTTTTGTAGAGGTCAAAAGGAGGTACCTGGAGGGATTCCTAAACTGTGTACCATCTGGCATCATTTAAGGTAAATCTGCTTGCATTTGCAAATTTCCCCAACCAGAATCTCATTTCTCCAGGGAGTGACCATGTTAGTTTTAGGCATGCACCATGAAATAATAGTGACAATAACAAAATAATCAAAGTGCATATTCTATGGAATTTCTCATATCTCAGCTTCAGCTATACATGTATATTAAAATCATACAATCATATAGATTCTGTAATAGATGCAAAAATGGAGATAATGTTGTTCAACAAATATCAACATCAACTGAGGTAGAAAACAGGGAGATAGTAGTGGCATGGAGTATGTTCTGCACAGACTACAAATAGAAGAAGGATTCCCTATTGATTGTGAGGGCCTTCAAATGCTCTCCTTCTATTGATTATATTAAGCCCCAGAACACGACAATGGAACTCCTCCATGAGATACAGTCATTTGAAAGAATGGTTAAACCATCTACACAAGAAAAAAGTAGACAAAACATGTATTATGTAGATAATGACATTAATTTGGATAATCAGCACATCAAATTAGTCTGTGTTTTGTATGTCCCTATGGATGGACAATGAAATAGACCCAGAAATACATAAAAAATTAGGCTAAATGACTTTGGGAAAATAGAGAATTTTTAAAGATCTCCAGTTGCCCAAACTATTAAAATTCCATCTTTTTAGCACCGATATTTCCCTGGTGATTCAATATTGTGGAATACTACATGCTCAGAAGAATAAAAATTATAAGTGACAGAAGGGACAATGGAAAGACATATTGAACACAAACAGATTGAGTGTATAAATATGACAAGTGCATGAGATATAGCACAGCTCTGAGACAATTATCTGTGAATGAGTAAAAAAAAAAACATTATCAAGGAATTGTATGACCAGAAAAGAAGGTGGGCACATATGGCAAGAGTGAAGTATAATAGATTAATAGCCCCTGTGTTGCACTACTACCTGTGAACTATAAAACCAAACCAAACAATCTCCATCAAAACTTTCAGTACATTGGATAGATCCTTGAAGGAGGGTTTGTGAAAAGACATGGATGGATATCAGATTGTCATATGGGAATATCACTTCAATTCTACATTATTCTATTGAAAGCTTACTAGATGCTAGAAACTTTGCTTACTGCTATGGATTTTTGTTGTTCAGTCATTTTTCAGTCCTGTCCAACTCTTCATGACCCCATTTGGGGCAAAGGTATTGGAATAGTTTGCCATTTCTTTCTCTAGATCATTTTACAGATGAGGAAACTGAGACAAATAGAGTTAAGTGACTTACCCAGGGTCACACAGCATAGTAAGTGACTGATGCTGGATTTGAACTCAGAAAGATGAGTTCCTGACTTCAGGCCCGGTGCTCTATTCACTGCATAACCTACTTGTCTACTGCTAGGGACACAAAGAAAGAATGAAATAGTTCTTGCCCTCAAGGATTTTATACTCTGTGGGGGAGCATTTACACTGGTAAGTGCAACATTTACACTGGTAAGTGCAAGATAATTTGAGGAGAGAAAAGAGAACTAATAACTGATAGCTCAGAAATAGTTTTGTATAGAAGTTGGCATCTGAATTGAGTCTTGAAGGAATCTAAGAATTTTAAGAGTCAGAAATGAGCAATACATTCAAATCATGGAATAGCGTGAGCAAAAGTAAATGAATGAATGAATTAAAAAGCACTTATTTAACACTTACTGTGTGCAAATCACTGTATTAAGCACTTGGGA